AGTAATTTCACATCCACTGATCCCCACTCTGCTTCTTGGCTATAAATTCTCACTTGCCCATGCTGTATTCAGATTTGAGTCCAATCTTTCTCCCTCAGTGCGAAATTCCATTGCTATGGTCTCTCTCTATCTATCTCAATGGTGCTGAATAAGGTCTGCCTTACCACGCTTTAACAAGTATCGCTGAACATTTTTTTTCTTTAACAACCTCCTGAACAATAAAATGACTAGAACCTTATTCCATTTTGCCATGCTGGATGTCCCCAACAAAAAGGCTGTTGTGAGCACCAAGTCATTGTGAGAAGAAAAAAACCAACTCTCACAATCCCCTTCCTATACCCAATGTAGGTTACATGGTTCTCTTGATGTTGATCAGTTTATTGCCCATTTTCCTTTATCTTCTAGTTGGAAGACTGTGGAAGTTTGTAGGACTCAACAAGTGGAATATTAAGAGAGCTGAGGGGTCAAATGGGGCTAAAAACAACCTTTGTTTCACTTGTCCCACCATGCTCCCTAACACGAGGCTGTCTGCCTGGAGGAGGAAGTGAATGTCTTTATCTTTACACAAAGCACCTCCTGGACCAGCAGCAGCATGGCCAAGGCACTTGGCATTTCATGAGACTGAGTTCATCCAATTCTACTGTAATGGCTTAAGACATATACAGTTTACTCTTGAACAACATTGATTTGAACTGCACAGGTTCACTTACATGGGGATTTTCTTCTGCCTTTGTCACCTCTTTGTCAGGAAGACCAACTCCCTCCTCCTCCTTTTCCTCCTAACCTACTCAATGTGAAGATGACAAGGATGAAGACCCTTACGATGATCCACTTCTACTCAATGAATAGCAAATATATTTTTTCTTCCTTAGAATTTTCTTAATAACATTTTCTTTTCTCTAGCCTATATTATTGTAAGAATACAGTATATACATACAAAATATGTGTTAATCGACAGTTTATGTTTATTGGCAAGGTTTCCAGGCAACAGTAGGCTATGGGTAGTTAAGTTTTGGGATGCAGGTGTTTGGCTGCATGGTGGTTGGTGTCCCTAACCCCCGGGTAGTTTAAGCATCAACTGTATGGCCAAAGGCAAGCCTTTGCATCCACTTTTTCCATCTCCTCAGTAAAAACCATAGAAAATGGTAGCTACAGCATACCGTGATATTTTTTGCAGATCACAAATTGATTGATCACTCACCTTATTCTGTAAGAGGTAAAATGCCCCCTTCTCTTAATAATTCTTAAGTTATCAAGCTGTTTGTCATTGTAATTTTTACATAGTTTCTTTCAAAGTGAGTAATAATCCTTATTTTGAAAAAGCACTTCCTTTAGACAACTTCCCCTAGAGATTATGAAACTACTTCTAAGGGTTGTCTGGGCTCAATTTTAATTCTTTGAAAAAACAGAAATTGGAATTGTGAGAAAATGTCTAGTGGTGACCATTATACTGTGGCTTCCCTAACCCTCCCAGTTGAACCGAAGCTGTATCCCGGAGCTTCAGTAAAGGATTCTTTCAGGGCACAGGACAACTTCTCTGCTGGGGTGCACCTGAGTGATGATGGCAATTTTGAATATATGCTTTTACCCAAAGAGAAGCCTTATTATCAGCAAGCACAATGCCACTATAGACGCGGTTTGAGATGTTCAAAATATTCTGGCTGAAGCGGAGGAAAAGAATCAAGTTCATGGTGTCATGGAGTTTTCCTTGCTATTTCTTTCTCTCAAATGACTATTTATGAAGCACCTGAATAAAACGCTATAGAGGGTACTGAAAAGCGAAGACATGTTTTCTCCCCCCAAAAAGTTCATTTTCTAGCTAAGCACCTATCTATCTGGCAGATGGGGAAGTCACAGCTCTTGGTCAGTGTGGAGACATTTCCCAACCTCCTCAGTTTCTGAATTGTGGACAGAAAGCCACTTAGGAAAATAAAACTGGAAATTAAGGGACAGGCACATCTGAGATATGGGCAGATTAAAGGTAGAACACCACACATAAGGGATTCAGTTTTTAGAAACAAAATTACAAGATGTACTCTTCTTCATCCTAGATAATCTGCAACACCAAAGCTTCCAAGACAGACAATTTAGGAATGGGGAGGCAAAGGGTAGGGATGGGAGTGGGGTGGTAGTGGGGGAGGATGGACATGTGGCAGAGAGAGTGGAGTTTGATGTTGGTCTGGAACTTAGTTGTTTCTTCAAGTTGTGAACTGGGATTTGTAAACTGTAAAGGCAGAAACTCCATTTTATTTTTTATGTTTTTTTTTTTTTAGCACTTCAGCCTGGGCGATGGAGAAACTCCATTTTTAACAAAAGTGACAAGAACTTCCTAAGTGCTTGAGAAAAGAGTGACTAAATATTGCAGGAATTCTTGGAAATAATAATTTCCATTTGTACACAGGAATTATATAATAGAAACCATGATAAATGCTCAATATTAACTCATTCTTCAAATAACTCTGTTAGGGAGAGAGTATTATAAGTCCTGTTTTTAAGATGGGAAAATTGAACTTTAATCCAAGGTCTTGGACTTCAAAATCCATTGTTAACATACATACCTCCTTAAATGAGTAAGTTAAGCTATTTACACGAGAAAGCTTACTATGCATCCTTCTCCTGAATTTATAGCCATAATTTGCACCCCAAGTCTCTTTTGCTGCCAGCTATCCTGGGGACAGGTGTTCCCTTTGGGCTGTCTGCTACCCCTAATTTATCTTTCATATCAGAATGATATAGTTCCCAGGACTGGGCTTCTGCTTTGATACTTTCTTCTTTTGTTGGATCCCCTCCCTAGGGACTGAAATTTTATCCTGAGCCTGTGTCTCCGCTACTCCTGGCCAGGACTCCTGGATGAAACTTGATTGAAAATCTAATTCATCACTATAAGAAAGGGATTGGCAGTAGCAGGAAATTGCCAGGAAGTGGGATTGACAGTTGAGGGAAACTGCCAGGGGAGGGAGGGACACACCTCATAAACAAGGGTACCTGCATAATGAACATTTGCAGACCTAACCCTGAAGTGTACCCCGCATCTTTAAAGAAAAATAATAAAATATCAATTTAAAAAAAAAGCCTAATTCATCTAATTCATCTTGGACACTTGAGAGATACCTGTCTCAAGATCATTGATACTGATTATTGTATGTATCATGGGACTCCATCCAGTGCTCTGTATCTCCTCAAATAGCCAATCTAGGTATAGGGCCTATTTTATCTGGTCTATGGGTCTGGAATTGTAGAGGTGGCATTTTTGGTAATGCTACTCTAGACACAAGCATCTGACTACTGCCAATCTTCAGTGTTGCCACACTGGTGCATTTATCCAATGAGATATAAATTATTTGACTATATTTTCTTTATATTATGATTAGGGATATATAAACATATAATTATATGTGTAAATTAGGGATATATAGAATTTTTAGTAATATAAGTTTATTTAACTACAACTTTCATTTTGGAATAAAAAAGTGCTAAGAAATATTTGTGATGAAAATAGGCATTGGTAGGGTTGAGAACATCAGGCAGTGAAAACGTATACAGCTTTTAAAAATCTTTAGTTCAAATTCTGGTTCAAGGTGAGGAATGTGATTGGGAGCAAATTACTTAACTTCTTTGAATTTCAATTTATCTATAAGACGGGGATAGTAATTAGAACCCAATCCAGGGCTAATATTAAATGCTCTTTTGGCCTGCACATGGTAAATGCTAAATACTGTTAGCTATTATAATCATTACTAAAATGGGGATGAGATATACCTCACAAGGTTATAAGTATTAAGCAAGATAATAGTTTATAGTAGATATCCAGTAATTGAATTCACACTGGGCACAGTAGCTCATGCCTATAATCCCAGCGTTGTGAGAGGCCAAGGTGGGAGGACTGCTTGAGGCCAGGAGTTCAAAACAGGCCTGGGCAACATAGTGAGACCTCATCTCTCCAAAAAAAAAAAAAAAAATGCTGGGTGGCATACACCTATAGTACCAACTATAGACTATAGACTGAGGCGGAAGAATTGCCTGAGCCCAGTAGGCGAAGGCTGTAGTGAGCCATGGTTGTACCATTACACTTCAGCCTGGGTGACAGAGTGAGACCCTGACTCAAAAAAAAAAAATTAATTTAATCCAAGATGTCCTGTTATTTTAGTTACTTCCAAGAAAGAAAGAAAAAATATTCCCACTTACACTACTGTTAAAGATAGAAAGGCAGGTTCTAATTTCAAATGTGATAAAATGTGAAAAATTTTTGCATTAGAATCAGCAAATACTTTTCCTTTCTTTCTTTCTTCAACAACTGGTGAGGTGTCTATACTCTCCCAAATCTATAATTCTTCTTTCCTTTTCTTTTTCTGTCTACCAAGACCCTAGGGTTTCTCTTGCGTGACTGCAAGAAATTAACTTCAGGTACTATAAATTCTCTGTATCACTTTTACACTCTCTATCACAGACTCCACTTTGTTTTCTCATCTCAACGTGAATTCAACTGCTCAGCATCCTGCTCCTTGTTATATAAGGTAAATGAATTTAAGAACAAAATGAAACAAAAGTTTCCTCCTTGTTATCTGAGACCTTCAATCTGGCATTTAGGTTCAGCACCATTTAGTGATGGATATTTTGTATGCTGTTAGAATTAATAGCATGGTGACCTGACACTTCATGTGCCACATGGTGACACTTCATGTGAACAAGGGACTAACAAAGACTGGGAAGAAATTAATAAACTTGAGATGAGAAATGGCAGGGTTTCCCAGAAACAATCTTACGAAATGTCAAAGGTAGAGGAGAGGTCAAATAGAATGAAGGTGGAGAAAGAGAACTTTCCTACAAAATGATTTCCCAGGAGATCTCATCAAATGCTCAGGGACACCTTCTCAGTCTCATCTAGCTAGTACAAGCTTGCTAACACAGTTGGCCCTGTTATTTGGATAAACAAAACTAAACAAAGTCAAATTTTCAGAAAAAAATACTAGCAAAACAGAAATCGAACATTCAACACAAAGTTTTGGTCATTCTGTTTATTTCATTTAGGACAATCATTGAACATTAACTGGGGTACTTAAAAGTAATTTCAATTATGAACCTCTTTAACCCTTCATCAATTATTTCAAGGGTTTTAGCCTGAAATACATCCCTTTCCTCTACAAAGTTCTGAAAGAGATGAACACCTCCACCTACACCAAAATAATGTGCTTTGCTGGCCAAAAGTACACATCCATTTTTATTTAACAGACTAAGGAATGTTTCATGCAAAGTACTATAATAATCAGGATTATAAATGGTTTCTGAGGTGAGAATGAGATCATATTTTACAAAGAGTTTTTCACTAAGTACAAGCTTACAAAACTCAGACCACTCCCCAGAAAAGAACCGGCATTTATATAGTTCTTGTGCTACTTTTAATTTCCTGCATCTTTTCATCTCTGGTTCACTTACATCACTTTCTTCATCTGCCAAAGTGGAGTTAGCTACTACATTAGGTAAGGTTACTTCATCAATCACCAGACTGTTGTAATCTTGAAAATGAATTTCTTTGGCCCCTCCGGTGAATGCAATTATACCCAGCAACCCTGATCCACAGCCAAGATCCAACACTTTTTTCCCAGCAAATTTCACTTTGGCCTTGGTGAAATAAGCCAGGAGGTCAAAAGTGCATTCCCAGATTTTTAAACCTCCTTCATAAACACCGGTAATCAAATCAGAGTGAGAAGAAAAGCTTTTTGAAACTATGTTTTCTCCAGGTAAATTCTCTTTCAATAAGACGGTTTTCACTACTGATATGTTAACATGTTGGAGACCTGGTAATGTTTCTATGACTTTATTTTCTAACATTTTCTTTAAATCTTTAGGTATAGCATGCTCTTTGGCAACTCTCAAGCAAGGCTGTTTTTCATGGGGCTCCAAGTTACGTGCACTGTTAGCTGCATTGAATAGGCGGTCTGTGTCTTGAGAGGTAGCTGCATTTTCCACTGACTTATGTTCCCACAAGTGGTCCTGAGACAAGTCAAATTGTTCTGTAGAACATTTTTTGTTTTTCTGTTCTCGTTTTTGAGTTTCTGAGACTAGCTCTTGTGAAGAATCAAGGGTCAAAGCTCCTTCTCTTAGCAGTGATAATTCATTTCCCAGATCACCTTCTATAGTGAAATTGAATTGAAAGGTCATCCTCTTATTAAGTGCATACAATTCTTAAATTCAAAGAAATATTCTTCAACTTATGAATAGAATTTGATGACACACATGATCCTGCTTCAATTATTTAATAAGTTGTGTTGCCGCCAATTTCTCTTTAGCTGCTTATACACCGTAATGAATATTTAGAAGTTTCCAAATGAATTTTTAGAGGTCTTTGCTCCTCTTTCAATTTAGCTCTGGAGAAAAAAAAAAAAAAAAAGAAGGAAAATGATGATTAAAGCAGAATGTCACATTTCACTATGTAATTTAAACAGTGTCCCCACTCCATACGGCTGCCTTTTTGGAAAACACACACAAACACACACACACCCCTATCTAAGGGTTCAAAAGATGGAGAAGAAAATAAACTCTAAAAACAAGCAAAAGAACAACAGCAACAACCACCACCAGGAAAAACGTCAAGTCCAAGATTTCAGACAGGAATTTCAGCTGTCCTGACTGTGCCCAAACATATTCACCACCCAAACTTTCAAAACTTCTTCACTTCAGAAGTTTAAGATTTTACTTCGGTAAGCCAGCATCCCTTTAAAAACACGCACAGGTGTGGCCCGGCGAGTGTAAATTTATCCAAAAGGCTTCACTACCAACATTTAGTCCAGAACAGCTGACCTAAGTGTATCGAAATGGGGGGTACTTTGGAAGTAACCGGTTAAAACTAATTTGGTGGCAGACCAAACACAAGACCCGGCACTGCACGATCCCTGCGGAGAAGCCGTGGATCGTGGAAGCAATATTAACGAGAACCTTCTCAGTGACTTCCGTGCTTGACATCTTGGACCATCTGCTCCAATTTGCACAACAATCCTGGCAGATGGGGTCTCCATTCCCTTTACACAAGATGAACACAGGGAGGAGGGCGGTCCACACAGGGAAGCGAGTAAGAACATGCCTTGTTTCTAGCCACACGCTGCAGGGTGTGGCTGCAGGTCCCAGGTCCCAGATCAAACCCGACCTCAGAAGTGCACTCTCAAAACACCATGGGCAGCAAACCGGGGGCTTCCGGCCCTACCTCCGCATCTCAAAGCTATGTTTACAGCGATTCGGACCTGGGGATGTTCCTGTCGGACGTGTCCTGGGATCATCCGACAGAGAAGCGCGGATTCCCACCGTCGGCCCTAGGCTGGAAGCGCGCACCAGCGAGTCGAGTCCTCCGGAGGCCAGACGAGTCCGGCTTGGTGAAGGATCCGCGCTCATCGAGCAACTCAGCCCGCTTCCGCTCTATGGTTTTGGAGCCTGCGGAGAGCTCGCAAGGGCTGCCGGGACTGTGCACGTTTCCGGTGTGAGCTGTGGCGGGACTGGTTTGAAGCCGCGCTGCTCCGGGAAGGCATGTCTCAGGAGCGCGCGGTCCCGGCTGGCGCGGTTCCCCTGGAGGAATTAAGTAGCTGGCCTGAGGAGCTATGCCGCCGTGAACTGCCGACAGTCTTGCCCCGACTCCTCATATCCTTGACGCTTCCACCGGAGAGGTGGTGTGGGGCGGATCGCGAACCTTTCCCTCCTGACCCTCCCGCCCGCCGCCGGGCCGCGCTGTGTCGCCGCGACCGGTACCCTCTTTCTTTAGATGAGCGGGGTGAGATCGAGGGCGTGGAGGGCAGCGAGGACCGTGGCGTGTCCAAGGCTTTGGGAGGGCTCGCAGACGTGTTCAGGTTTGGGCGGTGGGCATGGGGCGGGTGGGTCTTCCTCTGTGCCTTGGAGTTTTTCTGTCCTTGTTACTTGCAGTGAAGTGTAAATACTTGTGCTCAAGGCCTTGGGGGAGGCAGGAACTCCTCCTGAGCCGTAAGGTTGGCGCTGCCTCTGAATGGGTGGATGCAATAAAAGCGCGAGAAGTACTCTGATCTTCTGTTATCTGTAAAATGGGCGGTGAATATGAATACTACCTTTCTCAGCATTGTGAGAATGAAGGGGTC